TATAAGAAAAAATTTGGGGGCCTCTAAAAATCGGGGACCCATGGTAAATGCATACCCAACCCCCCTCCCCCTCCACCCCCCCCCCCCCCTCCACGCATAATCCGCTACTTATTGTCATCAAAGAAAAACTTATCTAGAAAGTTTGAAAAATGTCGTTGAATTAGCAGTCGTAAAATAAAAATGAGATACAAACCTACAAACAAACAACAGACAAAACATGCTAAACATCAGTATGTACCAATTATTAAGACCAAGGCCTTCTATCAAGCGTGAAAAGATCTATCTGGAAGGATTGAATGAAATCGCTGCATAAGAAGATGGTCAAATTTGAGTTTAAAAAAAAACAGACATTTTATCCTAAATAATAGCTTTTTAAAATAAAACTTCCACTAAACATACACGTACACATGACTAAAAGATTTCATAGATTTTCTAGATTATGTTCTCATATTTTTGGCTCTAATTCGATAAAGCTCGAGGCGACCCCCTCTGTCGTCTAGGGGCACATTTAACATATTAAAAATCATATAATGCTGTATAATTATAGAATACAAATCGAAAGCATACACCACACTTTTTGAGACTTTATATTGACACAAGAAATCGATTCCTAATATAACGTCTAGATACAGAACAGTAACACGACAATTACAATAGAGCTACACGGCCGTTCAAGCACACAGAGAAAAATAATAAAGTCATAGAATTCGAATATAATCAAAGTCTCGCGCTTGCACGGTGAGAATTAAAGCGACTCTTGAATTATACAGCATGAACGTAGTATGTTACTGACACCATTGTTTACCAGATCTTTAGCTTATTGTTTGTGCCATTATGCCAACACCAGTAGCGGAATAAGAAAAAGATGTCTCCACGCAAAAAAAAATGTTAGGGCTCATATATAGGCCTATATACTAACTTTATACATGCTCTTTTAATTAATTAAATTAATTTTAATTAAAACCCTTTGGAGTACAGAAAAGATAGGCACGAAAACATCTTGTTTTTACTCTTGTAGAATAAATTTGAACTGCACACATTAAAATGAGGAACTGGAAGCGAATAACCACCCATATGACACCACGAGTCACTAAATGTACCAAGTCAAATCACACTCTAACCCCAATGCCACACCATATTCCCCGCCCAACACCACAACATACTTTATCCGACAATACCATTAAACCCACCAAGAGATTTCAGTGTCTCACGCAGCACTTCACATCACTACACTCGCACTCCAGATCCAATAACTAATCTCACACTTACAATTTCCTAAACACCATACTCACTACGCACTAAATTGTTAAAGATTATAGATTTAGATAGAGCTAGATCTAGATGTATAACCGATATCTACTTCTAGTAAAGTACTACTAAGTAAAAATCTTAATTCTAGTTTTTCCGTAGTTCTAGTTCTAGAACATAGATTATTCATAGTCTTTTACACTCACTTAAAAAACGAAGGTGCCATAGCGAACGCGGGAATGCCAGAGGAGCCAAATAGCATCCTGTCGGGGAACCAGAGGACGCCCTGATTCGATTCAGTTAAAGACTATAGTAACCTTTCTTATCCATAGTCTATCGCACATTTTAAAACAAAATTATGCACCATATAGCTCACAGTATGGCACAGAGCGCCAAATCGAACCTTACACGGGCGCAGGCAGACGCGCCTGATTCAATTTAGTAAACTATTCTAATACCCCAAGCTAATCCGCAAACGGAAAGATAGAAGAAAACATAGAGGACATTTGAGTGCTGCTTGTAAACTGTATTTGATTACAAATAATATTTCGTAAACAGTTCGTTCAGTGTACTTGATCGATCCACACTAATTATGTAATAATTTTTTCCCAACACCAAAACAAGGTAATAAAAAGTATTTCACCCCCCCCCCCCCCTGAGGTAAATGGTTTTTTTTAAAGAAATGTAATTTTTTTTCCTAAATTATCAATGAGTGCAAAATAACTAAATGTAAATAATTTTCAGCTACAATTAGAATTTGTATGAAGGGTGATACATTTTCTTTAATTTTGTTTAATGCACATGCTGTCATTTAACACTGTGAGTTTGGAAAATGAAATTTATTTTATAACACATTCTATATTAATTTTTATATCATTAATTTAGACGATGCGCACTTTAAATATATTACACTATGGCGATCAAGTCTATTTTTTTATGCTTTACTCCTTTGTAATCACGCATCCGCTGTCCCATACATACAGAATTTAAATATATGTATATTAGATTAAGTGGGCTTACTACAGCTACAACATGCTACAGGCTTAGAGTTAATTTGTTCTTTTTTTAAGTAACCAAACACAGTAGAGTTACAAGTTAGGGGCAGGAGTGCTGTACTCCAGTGGCGTAGCTAGGTCGGGTGTCTATCGGTGCGGCACTTAATGGTGTCACCCCCCTTGAGGCGTTGCGACCCTTTCCGGGGACAAACTTTCAAGTTTTCGATTTACACCCCCCCCCCCCCTCAAACTTTCGATTTGCACCCCCCCCCCTCAAGTTTTTCTCTATATATTTTGCTATTTTTTGCCTTGGTGTTACCCCCCTAAATGGTGTCACCCGGTGCGGTCCGTACTCCCCGCCCCCCCTCGCTACGCCCCTGCTGTACTCATCTAATGACCAAAAATTAAAACTAAAACTAAACCCAAGCTAAAATAAAAACCCAAACCAAAACCTCAACCTCAACCTCAACCCCAACCTCAACCTCAACCTCAACATCAACCTCAACCTTAACTTTAGCTTTCGGATATTTGTCGTATTCGGGCAAGTATCCATGCGGGAGAACGTCCGGCTCCAATATATATATATATATATATATATATATATATATATATATATATATATATATATATATAAATTTTAAAAAAGATTGTTCTTTCTCTCCTCAGATCACTCGTTATCAGCTCAGAGTTGGAAAGGTTTTATAGTGATTTTTATTTTAACGTTCCTCTGCAGTTTAGGTTATGATTGTTTACTGATCCTACGCTGTTTATTAAGGTTTATTTGGCGTCTTCGTTTGTTAGTAGTGTGATTATGCCTACAAGATTACAAGTATTACTTGTATCTCCGTCGAAACGAACCTCATTATTTGATAATTCTGTATTTACGTTTACGTTTAAATGAAAGGCTTTGAGTTTACTATAATTAATTTTTATGAATCAACTTTGTTTAAACTCATTAGTTTTATATTTTACGCTTACATATTATTACTAAATCAAATTACAAATATAATTCTGTACAAAACAATGTAAGTCAGGTTGACATAAGAAAGTCCACGGTCGACACTTCCGGATAGTCATTCAATTGGCCTACATATTTATTGTTTTTTAGCGCAATTTCCATTCTGGAGAATTGCGTTTATTAACCCGTCATTTCTGGATGGATGGATGGATGGATGGATGAATGTATGGATGTGTTTCCGCAGCTTTAAGTCGTATCTCCTCCTCAACGAAGCAATATCGATGACTAGTTACAAAAACAATTATGTTAAGCAAGTTACGAGGATGAGCATAGGCCATAAAAATTACGGGTTTCTTTCATGGATTTCCCGGAAAAGCCAAAAAAACCTCGGAAAAATGCAGTTTTTGGCCCATATCTCAGCAACCAGACCACTTAGCGACTTGAAACATGTACCAATCGATTGCTGCCATAATTTAGAACAATATTGCCGAAGAAAGTTTTCAAAAATATCCTTTCGTTTGGTAACAAAAAAAAATTTGAATTAATTAACATTTGGACCAATTAGTAGGCATTTTATGCAACCACACCACACGCGTCATCACGTTCAATAGCTGCGCCATCACGTTCAATGGCTGCGACGTCACGTTCGGTAGCTGGGCGCGCAATGGTTTTTAGTCATGTTACTCTATTGTAAATAAAACATGTAAAATACTGAAAATTTTTTTTAATAAAAAACGTTTTAATAACTAACCAATGGTTTTACTAACCCTGCTCTTGATTTACGCTACGACAGAGCTATTTTTAGATAACACAAGGAAATTGCGCTAAAATTGTCACTAGACTTTTTTTAATTACTTGTTTTAAATAGTAGACTTATTAATATTTATAAATTAAAGTAGGAAAATACAACAATTTGTATACAGGAATATAATACAGACATTAGCTGTATGGCATTGCTTCTCTGCGGTGTAAAATACATTCAAAAAGTACTCTGAAGAAAACAAAAGAACAAAGCACAATGTAGGTCTAAAAGACAAAGCAAAAATTACTTACATAACAACCAAAGACATAAACGAAGCGCAATCTGTTTTGTAATCCTTGTAAAAAAAATATTACATAACTGAGTATTAATTAAGGCAAGAGAACTACAGTAGGGGAAATAATCACTCGCTCGATATAGATATGTATAGGCTCTAGTATAGGCTCCACATTTAATTGTAATTGTAAAATTCGTCCAAATCAAGAATTACTTTACTAAGTAATATAATAGTTTATTATTACTAGTTTTTACAAAAACATGTCTGCAATTAGAATTAAATATGTTTTTATCATCTATATACTACTAAAACTTAAGTTTGTTTTCATGTTTGAATATTTTTTTTTAATTTTTTTTTTTAAATTTTTGTCCGTTTGGTTATAGAAGAGAATCTTCACTATGTGTACAGCTGTAAAATAGTATTTAGGTAGAGAACAATTTTTTTTTTAAATACTGTTAATCACAAATTAATTTAAAGACGTTGATTAATTTATTGATTTATTCATTGGTAGATTAACCACATTAAGTATAAAAGTTCGAAACAATGACTTTATAGTGACGTCTTTTGATTTTTTTACTTTTTACAACAATAATGGCGGCTTCCATACAAGATTTTGTTGCCCATTCAAAGGTATAACGCTTTTTTAGCTAATTTTCTGGCTATAGCTTTGACGATACGTCCGTTTGCTGTTTTTATTACGTTCCAACACTATCAATTATCAACAGTCCTTTTCATTTAAGTATACAATACGTTTCTCTAGATCTAGAATCTAAAGATCAGCTGTCAAAGACAGTTAATTAAAGATCTAAAATCTAGGTCAATAAAAAATTAATTAGTTAAAAATAAAAAAGATTTTAAAATCAGAATAATTTTTTGAGTTTCGTTATTAAACTATTTTAGTACTTAAATATTTGATATAAATCTTTTCTTTTTACTTTCTCGTATATATGAAGTATAGAGTAAGTATTGTAATCGTGCAAAAAAAATCAAGATTTTTACAAATCTCGACGTTTTACACCTCACTGACACGGAAAAACATAATTTTGCAATCTTGTCCGTATGTCTGTGTGTCTGTGTGTCTGTCTCTGTGTGTGTCTATGTGTGTAAACACGATTACTTAAGTACCGTTACAGCTAGGTTGATGAAATTTTATATATAAGTGTTTTATCAAAATCGCAGATCCGTATCAACTTTTGAGCGATTTCCGATAACCGGAGGTGGTACTTTTTCTATTTTGAATTTTTCAAAAGCCTATAACTTGAGTACTATTTCAGATAGATAAATGAAATTTCACATGTAAGTAAAAGATCTGAATTTCTACCTTCTGTCAAATTTTGAGTACTTTCCGTTGACTGGAAGTACTAATTTACGCTATTTCCGATTTCTCAAAAAACGCATGTAAATTTATAAAGTACTAATAATATTGCACACTATTATGCACATCTTTATTAGGCGTTCACTTGGTGTGCAATTCTTTTTTTTTTACAAGATTCCATTCTATTTTAAAAAGTTTAAGTAATTAAAAATGGATTACAAATATTGTCTATGTCCTGAGTTGCCATCCCTCTTAGTTTTATACTTAAATATTCGAGAAAGTAGGGGAGATCACTCCCGGTTTGTTAGCTTTACGGATCAACTAATTCAAGAATACAAGTGATTTTTCTATCTAGGTTCTAGATCTAGGTCTAGCTAGTTACGGCAAAATCTCGACTTAACCAAACCAGTCATAGAATCTAAATAACATTATCTAGATCTAGATAATGAGTTTCTACACTAAACTATTTTAGACCTTCAGTATTTTATATAAATCTTTGTTTGTATAGCTATAAAATTGGTTGATTTAAGATAAAATTTAATTTGAAAGATACTAGATCTAGAGTCTATTCGCGTAAATCAAGTTTCTTAAGCAGACTCGAACTATTAATATATAGCACAAAAAAAACACAGATGACGTCACAAGTCTAGATAGTGGGTGGCACGGGTTGTAGACACATCATGTCAATGTTACATTTTTTAAGAATTTTTTTAGATGTGAATGAAAGAGTTGCCTATCGGAACTTAGCGGGACACAGGGCAGGTGAAGTAGAGTCCATCTGTTTCTTTGTCCCCAGCATATTAAGTGGATAGTGTGGTCAAAATCTTTTTTTTTAAACGATAAAACTTTTTGTCTGAGACTTGGCGGGACACTGCACAGGTGAAGGAGAGTTTGGTAGGTATAAAGTTCATATGTGACTTAAACATATGAAGAGATAATAAGGTCAGACCCATGCTCAGCCGAAATCTGTGTTTTCAAAGACAAAAACGTCTGGGGTGTGACGTCTTTTTGATTTGTGGGGTCTGGTTTTTTGTGACGATGAGTGATGTTTTTTTATGGATGAACCCCTAAACCCACAGTAATCTAACTAGATAGCGGGTAGTCTAGTAAATGCTAAAATTAGTACAGCATAAAGTAAGTATGTGAGATCAAAATTTGTATAAAAGTGTGATTTTTAAATTAATGAAAAACTAAATTAATAAGTGAAACATTCTAAATAATAGCCTACAATATCTTTGTTTGTTAACAAAATTGTTGGTCTTGCATTTCTTATCTCGATATTTTTTAATTAGCCATTGATATTTGTGTTCTTTAAAGATTAGTTTTAACATAATGTTAAGGTATGAGTACTATAACTGCATCGCACACAAGAATCTTTACAGATAATTGCAAAAAACAATATTTACTTAGTTTTACCTATATCAAAAGCTATGGTTCTGATTGTAAAAGAAACAACAGAATAACTAAACAACTTTAGTTATTATGTATTTAAAGTTTGCTTATTCATCTTTTAGGGTTATTTTTACTCTTATCCACAGCGTTTTTATATTCCTTTCACTAAATTTACCCGATGTCATTAATTGTAAACCCTGACAAAGGGGGGGGGGGGGTGTCTAATCTAATCCTTAGTCTGGTAGAACCCAGACTGGTACAATTCTAACCTTAGTCTTTCAACTAAATTAAAAAGAAAAGCTAACAGCTAAAATTTATTAAACAAAAAAAAATTGGCACCGAATGTACTGAAAAATAGACTAAAAAAATAAAAGCGACTAAATAAAAGACTAAATACCCAATCGGACTCAATATCTAAAAAGAGAACAGTTACATGAAAATAATATAAAAAGTAAAATAATTATACACAAGACATGACTGAAAAGATTTTAACAGTAACTATTATAAGTCCACTCCAGGACAATTCATTACATAAGTAGTCCACACAGGACAACTGACAATAATATAATATAGATCCGACTGAACCAAGTCTTCCTCTTGCGTCTCAATGGGGAGTGACAATCAGTCGACATTCATACGATAATTCTCACTGCACATTAATGGCTGAACCAAACATTCCCCTGGGGATTCAATAAAGATCTCCACATGCAGTGGTGGCCGCCTACAATGGCATTACAACAGTTACTAAAATAAAGAGGCATAACCCAACCCAACAGACAGGAGTAAACCATAACTGTCCGACAACTATAAATTAACCCTATAGCTGGCTTAACTTTAGCCCAAGTAATATAACTAATCATAATGAATGCTGTGTATTTTTCCCTTCACGGGAGGTTTACAAGCATAAGCTTAATGGAAAAAATATATATAACAAATTAAAAAATGAATAAAATAATCTGTCTGCCACCAAGTGGTCCGACACTACAACGTTTGTGACTCAATGAAAGTCTAAAAATTTAGATGGGGAGGAAAAGTTAGACCAGTACAAACGTGCATAATATTAAATTGAAATAGAAAAGTAAAAAAAAAAATAACTATTTAGGGGTCATCCATAAATGACGTCACGCTTTTTTTGACAATTTTTTCCAAAATCTTGTTTGAACTCTGTCAAAATAGAGTATTTTAATCAATTCCTAAGAAGAGAATAAAAAATCCTCACTCAATACACAAAGCTAGAGGCACTGGAAAACCATAACCTAAAACAAAAACTCCAGAAACCCAGTCCATCAACCAGACTACAAAGAACAAGTTTCATCAAAGAAGCAAAGAATCTGAAAAAGAAATATGAAATAGAAAATATCATTCCTGAAGCAATAAAAACTCAAAACCTCTCCCCGCCTTGGATCTCCCACTGTCACTTAACCATTATTGACTCAATAGACACCATAGGAAAAAATCTGACTATGATCTAGAAGAACTTAAGAAAATAACAAATAAACACATTAAGGATCAGTACCCCAGCAATGGTGCCCTGTCAAAACGGCCCGGGACAAATCGGCCCCGTCAAAACGGCCCCGTTAATACGACCCCGTCAAATCGACTCCCGACAAACCGACCCCGTCAAAATAGCCCCGTCAAAAGGGCCCCGACTTATTGGCTCCCGTCAAATGGGCTCCCGTCATATTGACTTGCGACATATAGGCTCCCGACAAATGGGCTCCCGATATTTAGGCTCCCGACAAATGGACTCCCGACATATTAACCCCTGACAAATAGGCTCAGGACATATTGGCTCCCGACAAAGCGGCTCCCGACATATTGGCTCCCGACATAAGGGCTCAAGACAAATGGGCTCCCGGCAAATGGGCTCACGACATTTTGGCTACCGACAAATGGGCTCCCGACATATTGGCTCCCGGCAATTGGGCTCCCGACATATTGGCTTTTGACAAAATGACTCCCGACATATTGGCTCCAGAAAAATGAATGATATGATCACTATTGGCAAAAAAAAGTAACCATTGTGTCCTACCTCCAATACCACCATAACCTCTTTATAATGCCCGAATGAAATTATTTTTTCATGAACCAACATTAATTCACAAACAAATCGAGCCCTTAACAGCTAAATTCCACCAATTCTAAAGTTTTGATAATGTTTAATTTACAACAGAAAAGATCTGTTGCTTAAAAGCGAGCACAGAAGTGTAAATGTATGATATACATGATGTTAACATGATAACAGCATTTTGTTTTGATAACCTACAAGCACAGTGGCGTAGCGAGGTCGGGTGTCACCCGGTGCGGCACTTAATGGTGTCACCCCCCCCCCCCCCCCAGAGGCGTTGCGACCCTTCCCGGGGACAAACTTTCAAGTTTTCGATTTGCACCCCCCCCCCCCGAAACTTTCGATTTGGACCCCCACCCCCTCAACTTTTCCTCTATATATTTTGCTATTTTTTGCCTTGGTGTCACCCCCCTAAATGGTGTCACCCGGTGCGGTCCGCACCCCCCGCCCCCAATACGTTGTATTACATAAGAGTGTTGGATAAGCTAACTCTAAAGAATATTGATGAAGGGGTCCCACTGGCAGATGTCATATTCAATGAGACCGCTTTGCCGGGAGACTTAGTCTCTACAGAAACGGTATTGTCAGTGCAGTGGCGTAGCTAGGATTTTTGGGCCCCTATGCAAAAATTATCAGTGGGCCCCTTCGTCAGCCGTTAGGCCAGTGGCGTCGCTAGGTCGGGTCTCACCCGGTGCGGCACTTCGTATTGTCACCCCCTCCCAGGAAACAAAGCATATTATATATATATATATATATATATATATATATATATATATATATATATATATATGTATGTGTGTGTGTGTGTGTGTGTGTGTGTGTGTGTGTGTGTCGGCCTACATAGGCCTAAAATTTATATATATGCCACATACTGGTACACGTACGTGTTTAAGCTTTAATCACTGCTGACTTAATAGTAACGTTGTTTATCTACAGTCTGTTTATAATACAGTTGGATGTAGCCTTGTTTTCTTTATAGTTTACGTTTACGTCGTGGTGTCACACCCC